TTTCAAAAGGGAACATATTAAACGGAATAATTCAATTTGATATGTCATGACATCACTGGTATTGGTGTGCTTTAGTTGGTAATGTAATGGATAAATACTTATTTTCTTTCATTTGCATGCTTCGCAAATTAAATCAAACTTATGAACTTATTTTGGTTAAAAAGCGGATAGATTTATGAGGGAAATGCTTTCCGATGTTTGCAATCGATTAATGAAATATTTGTCTAATAATGCCGAACCCTGTACAAATACTTTTCCCTCCACATGTTTAACAGCGTACAAGTCCCAAAAAGAAATCCGGATCGAATTCATTCAGCTGAAATCAAAATTTATGTATGCGTTATATGGCCACGTTTTTGTATGAATAATGAACATCTCTGCACCACTGCTTGTTTTCTTTCTAACGAAACCTGAGTCATTACTATGATCTAAGACGAATGAATTATTTATTCTCATTGTTCCACTCTTGAACTGTTATAAACTGAGCTTTTAAAGTTTTCATTGTCATATTTTCTTTTGACCGTGACAATCGTCCTATCTACTTTCATTTTGGAAGTAGCTTAAATGTTAAGCAGCCTTCTTGGATTTAATTTATGGCAAAAAAAATGGCCTCTTTTGTCTGATGAGGAAATATGCAAACACAACAATCGCATGTCTTTATGGATAGTTTCGGGGAATTCAGTATACGATGTGACATCCTTCCTGAATTCGCACCCTGGGGGGGACGCCATATTGCTTCGCTGTGGTGGCGGAAGCAAAAATTGTGCGGAGGATTTTGCACTACATAGTCAGTTTGGACAGAGGCAGTGGGAGCGACTAAAGATTGGAGAAATATCAGAGGCTAGCACCACAAAAAAATCAATCTTCTACGGAAAAGAATATTCAGCAACTGATCCTGAAGAGGAAGAAGAAGCAGCGTTGTGTTAGCCTCTATTAGGTTCAGCCCTATATGGCGTTGTTCGAATAAAGCATATGGCTCGTAGAACACTAAAGCTACTGTTCGTATAGCTATCAATATGATGGACATGCAAACAGCTGGTTTGATGGAAATGAGCAAGCTTGATTTTATGATGTGTTTCAGGTTACTTTGTAATTTAAAAACCAAAAATAAATCTTGATTTGTTGCATTACAACTAGCTCTTGAAAACACTTGTTTTTTTATTTATTCTACCAATGGCGAAAGTAATACTTTGCTGAACATTTTAGCGATCTTAATAATAAAAGGGGCTCATCAACTAGGCGAACAGGGGTTGTAAAAATATTAATTTTAATACTGTTCTATAAATTGTGTATCTCTGCTGCAAGCAAATTTAAGCTTCGGCTAAAATTTTTCCTTAAAGTCATCGACATCAACTCTCTCGATCAACTGCATGCCAATATTTATAACTAGGCGTAAGGGGGGGGGGGGGGAATTTTTTTTTATCTCTATTAATTAAACATTGTGCAAATGATGATTTCGATGTTGCTATCCTCATAGGCCGTCTAAAATTTGAATTACTTTATCCCCTCATTAATTTCTTCATTCACTTTTGGCATAGCTGTGTGACTTGTAATGCATCAAAGAGTTTTTTGTGGAACAATTTTCGAGGCCCCAGAGCCTAATCGACTATCTGTGTTGAAGAACGCGTTAATACTTGTAAACTCTGATGGCGTGATCGAAAAGGTTCTATCCCGCACCGAACATCCTGATGAGTATGATCGACTTCTATCTGTAGCCAAGGCGGAGCATTCGCTGACGGAGCTATCGTGTGGGCAGTATTTTATGCCTGGATTTGTGGACCTCCACGTGCATGCCCCACAATGGCCACAACTTGGAAAGGCGATGGATTGCCCCCTCGAATTATGGCTTCATAAATACACATTCCCTTTGGAGGCTAAGTATAGCGACATAGAATTTGCCGCTAAGGCTTATAACAGTCTGGTGGAAGCCTTGTTGGCTAACGGTACCACATGTGTCGCGTACTTTGCCACTGCACATGTGGAATCGAGCCTTTTATTGGCAAAGATTTGCTTGGAAAAAGGGCAGCGGGCTGTTGTCGGGCGGGTCGCACTGGATTTGCCGAGTGAGTGCCCTGAGTACTACCGAGATCCCTCGCCCCAGGAGTCCGTCGCCTTGTCTGAACGTTTTATTCGAGAGATGCAAACTCTACCTGGTAACGAGCTAAAGCTGGTGCTTCCAGCTGTTATCCCACGCTTCATCCCAACAAGCAGCCACGAGGCCTTGATAGGTCTCGGAAAGCTCGTGCAAAGATACGGCTGCCACGTGCAGACTCATTGCTCGGAAAGCGATTGGGAACACCACCACGTGATCGCGCGCTATAACAAGCACGACGCCTTCGCCCTGGACGACTTTGGCCTACTAACACGGCAAACCGTACTCGCGCACAGCGTTTTTCTTTCTGATGAGGATATGGATCTCGTGAAGCATCGCGGATCGGCTGTGGCGCATTGCCCGTTGTCGAATATTTACTTTTCCAATGCTGTCTTTCCGCTCGCGGCGGCCTTGCGAAAAGGTCTGCACGTCGGCCTCGGAACGGATATCTCCGGGGGGCATAGCGCCTCCATCTTTGATGCTATGCGGTTCAGCATGTCATCTTCGCGATTACTGGCGAGTGGCATCAACCCCAATCTCCCTCGTGAGGAGCGCAGCACATATGATCCCAGCACAACATCAATTGACCACCTCACGGCCTTCTATGCGGCTACCACAATGGGGGGTATCTCCCTCGACCTGAAGGTTGGCCGCTTGATGCCCGGATATTTCTTTGATGCAGTTGTGGTCGACACAACACTAAAGCACGGTGGTATTCATATCTTTAAAGAGCTGGATAACGACGAGGATATTTTCCAAAAAATTATCCTTACCGCATCTCCATCCAACATCGTGCGAACTTACGTTAGTGGGCGAACCGTTTATAAAGCATAGAGTAGTATAACTTTAGATTTTGGAAACTTAGCAAACATGACTGTCAAATATATGGTGGTGAGGGTGATGTCTTTCTTTTTGTGTGTGCTTCTGTTACCCTTACATGTATCACATTATTTATCCTATATATTTTATAATAAAATAGTTCCACAAAAAATAAACCACAAATAGGTAGTGAATTTGGAAAATGGAGGAGCCTAAACAAACGTTGTACATCCGAGGTCTTCCCGATAAAGTGTCCGCAAACGAGGTGAGGCGATTGCTGTATTTACACTGCACCCAGTATGGCCCTGTTCAAGAAGTGCTGTACAAAAAAACTAGACAACAATATGGTCAGGCGTTCGTAGTATTTACAGATGTGGCTACAGCGACCACGGCACGCCGCTCACTACATGACCGTTTATTTTACAATCGGAAGATTCAGGTCTTTTATTCTCATAAGCAATCCTTCTGCGTGGATCCAGCAGAACGGAGAAAACGAGACATTCTGAAAGAAAAACGCGGCTTACAGCGTTTGAATGAAGCTCGAAGATCGCTTAGCTAGAGGGGGCGCATCTCTTTCGGTGACGAAAAAGTCATTTCGAATTAAACACATCGATGTCTGTTATTTCTTGCGTGAGACATGACAGTGATGTCATTAAGCGGTGATATTCGTGGAATTTTTTATTGCTGTGGATGTAAACAAAAAAATAATTATGTAGTTTTACTTCAAAATCCTTGCCTATTAATGCCTTCTGATTCTGAACACAGCTAGGGCACACCCCAAAAAGGAAGAGTAAATATAGTAAGATAAAGAGGCACGTGATCATATTTTAAACTAAAAAAACATTTATCATACCATTCCAAAGATGTCGGATTTCCCTCAAGGACCTCTTCCTGCTGATTGTGAGGAGTCTGTGTTTAACATTATCCGCGATGTGGGTGTTAACGTCCTCACATTGACAGTCCTACGCAAGCGTCTTGCGGCGAAATATAAGATTGACTTTTCCCCCCACGACGCCGCCGTAGAGATGGCAGTGCAGAAATACTTGAGCTCACCCGAGGGGGTGAGAGAGTTGGCGAAAGTAAGGATGGCAAAAGCGGAAGGGCCTATGGGTGGAAAGGGAAAGAAGCGATCTCGCTCACAGAAGGAGGATGGTAAGGAGTCCAAGAAGAGCAAGGATGATAAAGCCAAAAAGGAAAAAAAACCAGACAATTACCCCAAAGCAGCTTTATCAGCGTATATCATTTTTGGAAATGAGCAGAGGGAGAAGATTAAGGCGGAAAATCCCGGCATAGCTATTACAGAAATTCTCAAAGAAACGGGCAGGCGCTGGGCCGCTGCTTCCGAAGAGGAAAAGGAACACTACAAGAAGCTGGCGGAGGCCGACAAGGTACGTTTTGACAAAGAGTTGAAGGTCTACCTCGCCGATGGGGGTCGTGTGTACAAGCGTGGCCAAAAGGACGGCAAGGGGTCGAAAGGCGAAGCTAAAGGCCCCAAACGCGCCTTATCCTCGTATATGTACTTCGCAAACGACTTTCGTGTTAAGCACCCAGAGTTAGGTATGACTGAGCAAATGAAGCAGGCTGGGATGGAATGGAAAAAGCTGACTGATGAGGAAAAGAAGCCGTTTGAGCTGAAGGCGGCGCAGGACAAGGAACGCTACCAACGCGAATGCCAAGAACAAGGGGTAAAGACAAAGTCTAATAACGCCTCAAAGGCTGTTGCGGCGGAAGACACCCCCAGCTCCTCCGACGCCAGCTCAGATTCCGACAGTGATAGTGATGAATGATAAGTAAAATCAAACAGACATTTTTTTCCACCCTTCTCTTGCTGTGTGCAGTGCCGTGTTGCGGCTGGATGCATGCATGGAAAAGATTGGGGATTCAATAAATCTCCATGAAGAATGTCTCTTTACTAGCGAATAAAAGTTGCCTTCTATAGCGTTTTGTGCTTTCATAGATTCTTATTTTCGCTTTCGCTGGCAGCATTATTCACTTTCATAGAATCTTGGTTTGTAAGTGTCGCGTCTTAGGTATTTTATTTGGGGTTTTCTTCCTCATATATATTTATATATGTATGTCAGGGTATTTTTCCATTTACTCTGTGAAAAGGAAGGTTGGCAACAAGGACATTGCTCTCCTTAACCCAGCTGGGCGCTTTAAAATTTGTAAACATGGGGAACTGGAAGAGGGAAGAATGGACGAATAAACCTATTAAAAAACCTTTAGATATTGTATCATTTAGAGCTTAACTGCTAAACGACTGGTCTTGTAAGATACGACACATTTTTCGTCATGTTCTTAATTAATAATTTCCCAGAGTGTCAACTACAAATATAATATTTTGCTTGACACAAAGCAATACCCAGTAGTTATTTGTGTTAAATTGTCTCTGAACAGAAAATAATACGTCATGATTTTATACAATCATACACAACCTTAGAAAAAAAATATTTCTCAGATTTCTATTTCATTTCAAAGAAAATTGAGCATGCTACCATCCATAAAGTACTCACGCATGAATCGGTGCTTATTTATCTCCCAATGAGACTAGTGTTAAAATGCTAAAATCAAAGGTGTGACTTAGAAAGGTTCTCGCAAAGCAAACCCCGTGGACGGTTGCTGAGTTTAACGAACTAAAGCTCTCTTTTTCTATTTGTGAATGATAGGTTCTGCACTCTTCAGTTTTTGATTATCGATTTTCACACCAACACTCATTAAATAAAGAAAGGTTATAATTCAATTTTCCTACAAAGCGCATTTTGTCGAGCACAGAATTCATCATTGCAAGCGCTCTTTTAAGGGTAAATATTCATGTGCGAACGCATTCCACCGCAAGATTTTCATGGAGCTAGCGCTCAACAGTATACGGAAAAATGTGTTGATGATCTTGTCAATGGAAAACAATTTAAGGCGTACGTACGACATGTTGAATATAGCGAACGCTTGTATTTGACTTGGTTTGTTGTCCTTTTTGGTCTAATCGCCGCGGTATGTCATCATCTATACTTTTTCGACCCCAACTACCTTCTAAACCCCCTGGATACAGCTTCCTTGAAGCAGATGGAGGACCAAGCGTCCCTTGTTCCCACATTACCGTATGTGGCACTCTTTGCGTCCCTTTACCTGTTTCCATGTGCGATAATCGCCCCCTTTGTTGGATTTTTTGAACTGCCGACCGCGTTCAGCAGCGTTATTTCCTACGTTATCCTGACCGCGTTGAACTGCGCGGTGGTCCTGTTCGGTGGCGCGTGGTGCCATCACCCTCCTTTTTTGAATACGGAACCGGCGCTGTCGTGGCGTATATCCCTCTCACGCGACGGAGCATGGATGGAGATCCTCCGCTATCTCTTCATACGGGCCGCGCCGCTTCAGGGCTTCCTAACCGCAGGTTTTTTGGTTGCGCGTTGGCGGCGAACGTTTTGGGCTCGTCTATGGCATATCCCTTTCCCTTTGATCTCCGTCCCCCTTCTGGTAGGCATCTTTGGAGCACTATGCTGGCAATTCACAGTGCTATTGCAATCATATCTTTTAGACGTTAGGGGTGAACCAACGGATGTGAGCGTGTACCTCTGGGGCTCAGCAATCTCCGATCCACAGGGAGTGATTTCTCTCAGTGTTGATATCGTAAAAGAAGTGATGAACACTATGGTAGGAGACTTGCAAAAGAACATACTTGCCCGTGAACTTCCACCAAGTTTGCGTAACTCGATCTTATATTTGAACTTGTACCTAGCCTCCCTTTTGATGACGTTGCTGTATTTTGTTGCTATGCTGGTGAAACCTATGCTTGCTCGCATGTTGAACGGCGTTTTGTTTTTCTTTCCCACTCATCCCACAACATGGGGAATTACACTACTTTCCTCTTTTGCGTTTCTTGCGGTTCTTCTGAATATGGATGAGGTTCCCATTTTTTATGTTGTAGGTATTGCTCACGTTATCGCTGGACTTTTTTACAATGGTTTTGTAGCTTAAGTGTAAGGCGGTAAAACGTCACTGTTTGAAAAATGGAAACTACCAGAGGAGACAAAAAAATATAAATGAATCGGTATTTGAAAAAGTAGTTGCTTAGATTTTAGATCTTAGAGAGTCTTGAAATTGTACGCAACACATGCAGCATATGGATTAATTTAAGCTCCTAGTCTCAGTTTTATGCCTTCTTCTGTTATTCACTTAAGATACTCATTATCTAGACGTCTTAAATGACGCAAAACAGGCATGTGATGGATTCCTTTGAGAGTTATAATATTTCCTTTTTTTTTCTTAATAATCACATCTTTTGGTAAGGGCCCCCACTACATCAGGATTATTTGGGCTTATATTACTGCCTAAGAGGGCTAGTCGAATTAGACTTGTTCGCAGTATAAACCTTTTGACAGCAAAATATCGATATTGTACAGTAGTAAAAGCTTATGTTGAATACAAAACAAGCTAGTGCGGGGGATGCTATTAGAGTTGAGGAAGATGAGATTGGTGGTGTCGAAGAAAAAAGAGCGGATAGTGCAGAAACGATCCCGAGCGCGGTATCCAAACCATTAGAAGTAGTGGATAAAGGACCCTCGAACGCTGAGCATGACATCAGCGAAAGTGATGCATGCAACGATAATGACACTAATGGCGGTAATAGCAGCGCCACAGAAGTTGAGGAAGAAGAGGATTCTCAATATGAAGATGATGCGGGGGGTGATGATGATGATGATGATGACTCCTACACTCCGGAAGTAGTGGCACTCTCGTCAAATCAAAAGGAGTCGCGCAATTCACTTGTGGTTAGTAACAAAACCTACTCTTCTTCTGCTTTCGTGCAAAACAAGGGCTACATTCTGGCTCAGGCTAAGCTACGTGGTAATCCCAAGGCCACTTTCACCTTGTGCAACACGAGACGCCCCCACAACATCCTCAAGTGCCGTTCGCTACACCTAACCAATCGCGCCGTCCTTGTGGAAGATCGGTATGTGCGGCTGAACATGCTTCTCAATAGCGTCGGGAAGACAACTCTTTTAGAGAATCCCTCTAAGGCTTTGCGGATGCAGTTCTGTCACCACGCGCATGAGGGGACCATGGCCGCCACCGAGGCCTGCGATAAGCTCCATCTCCAACCCAACATTGTCTTTATCGGTGTCCCAGGCCTACGCACGGCCTATTACGAGGCCGAGCTCCATCCCAACTTAGCTCTCACCAAACTTAAACAACAGCCTTGGGAGACGCAGTGTGGGACGTGGTGTCGAAACGGTCGTTCTCATGTCATCACCACCTGCCGCTTCCTTCATTACCAACGGGGGAGTACATACACGGAAAAGCCAAATCCACCCTTGCGCCCCCTCGCCCTCATTCCAGAGTTCACCCCAAAGCAGCCCACGAAGGCGGCGGTCGCCGCGAAGGCCCCCGAGTATGGCACTATGACGGTGCTAGCCGGTAAGAAAGCTGCCGGACGAAGGCAGTCTAAAGGGATCCGAGGCTGCGGCAGTGCCCGTGCCGTGCCGCTCCCGGAATTCGCTCGTGGCGATCGTTCGGGTGCTAAAAGTGGAGCTATCGCACCAGCCGTTGTATCTCATAAAGTAGATAGACCATCTCCTACGACAAAGGGCGATCCCCTGAGCAATCCTAATAACGTGCACACATGTCTTGGCGGGGGTGAAAAGATCCAGATGGAGTGGTACAAACTCTTGATGCTGTTCCTTGTTTTGTTGGTTATACTATTCTTCTTGCTGGTTTACGCAGTTAAACGACCCTTTGCTTGAACCACACCACTTTCTTGGTGTATAATAGTGGGCAATGGTTGTAACTCGTTTAATTTTTGGTGAACGAATTTCGGATTTGATATCTGAAAGTGTTCGCGTCTTTCTTAATTCGTTTAATTCTAAGTAATGATTGAGGAAAGATATTAATTGATAGCGTGTAATTATTACTATAAGATGCATAAATGTTTGGATGGTATGTGCGTAATCCCTATCTGAGCCCTTCATCTTGTTTTGCAAATCCTATGTAATGTGACATCTTACTCCACTGAATTTATCCTTTTTTGTTTTCTAAGTTTCTTAAAACCACTTCTCTAATCGCATATTTGATGCCTTTTTAGTTCGAAAGTACGAATTTTATCATTAGCGAGATTTGTTTCTTACTCATAACCTTTACTGTTCTTTGATAAAGCTTAGCTTTCAAAGATGTAAGAGACGTTAAGAATTATGGGCATACTACACCATTCCCCCTTACTAGGCATTTTAACCCGATAAACGAATTCCACACTAGGGATTTCTAGCATATCCAACCGCTGAGCTCACTACATCACTGACAACACGATAGGGACTCTATATTTCCAGCCCATACATAACATCTGATCACTACGAGTCACATCAAAATTAAAGACATGTGAAGCTAATAATATTTACTATATAATTTTCGACTTGGGACATCTTAATGTCAAATCGGAACTGAGCCTTATGCTTAGATGCAACTAGATTCTGGCAGGGAGATCCATTTTTGGTACGTTCCTATCAATTGGTTTAACCTATCGTAATACTCTTGAAGTATCCTTTAATTTTCAATTCAACAGTAAATGCTGATTCTCCGTAATCCACCTGGTTGACAACAACCTTTGTTTTGTCTTTCATTTTTCCTCTTTTATTCCTTCATCATTGCCTTTCTCTTAAATTCTGTCATGAACACTAATAATGCAACGGTTATCACATGTAGCGGTTATCGAAAGCAAAAAAAAACGGAGTGAGAGAAGGTATGCATAACGTTTTACGGGGCTCAGGAGGAACGACTCCCGAACGAGTCCTGCTTGGTAGCAACGCCTCGCGTCTTCCACGAGCGCTGGTGGGCGTTCTGGCCGCATCCACCGCATTGAGCACCGCCGTACTTATTTGGCAGCGACTCCCCCATCATCCCGGCGGCGGTAGGCAACGCACACGCGAAGGGGCGTTAGTTGGGGCTCCCGACGAGAAGATCAGCGGGAGCGTCCAGGGAGGGGAAGAGGAGAACATGTTTTCCCTCGCAGGCCCACCGCGGCTATTTGTGTCCAACTCTAACGCTTCCCAGGAGAAGAAAGTGTCCGACAGGCCAAGCGGATCGCCGCTGCAATCCAACGCCGTGGAAAGCAAAGGGGCGCTCGCGGTAGGCGTCCTCTCAAGCTCGGAGGTGTGGACGAGTGATATCGTGGCACGCGGGAGGGAGTTGAACCTCGCGCGTGCTTTGCTTCGCCGCGTAGAGGGCGTCGAATACGAGGAGAGTAGCGACGACGAGACCCCCTCGGATGAAACTGACGTTTCTCTGAACTATTGCACCGCAACGGAGTTGGAGTTAAAGTCACGCGATGAGTTAATGGAAGTCTTCTCGTACTATGAAAACGCCCAACAAGCTGGTGCTAGGTCACCTGACGGGAAGGATAGCCAGGAGATGATCAACGACATGGGCTTTGTTCTCGCAAAAATTGTAGAGTATCTGGATATTTCAAACGAACGGGAAAAGTTGCGGGTTCGGCGCGAAGCAAAGAGATATGCAGACGGAAAGGAGGCTCTTGGCAAATTTACTTCTTCGCCCGCCGAAGATTTACCAAAATCATCAAAGACGCCGCTAGATGCTGGCTTGCGTGTAGGCGATAGCTGGCAAGGTCCTGGTCCGAACGGGGTTCCTTCCTCCCGCAACCAACTTAACCTATTAGACCGTATGCTGGAACAGAGAGAGACCCAAGGAGAGACATTCGAAGAAAGTTGGAGTAACGATGACGAAGAAACGCAAGCTTTCATGGAGTTTCTTCAACAGGATGATGCAGCACCAAAGTTTTTTACGAGGGAAGAAGTGCGCCGTAATCGTCAAAACCGTCTTCGTCCGGCCTCTCAGAATTGTATTGATGACGATGTGTATGTGGTTACCGCCGATGGCCAGGACTTTAATGATGTGATTGCTCGCATAAACGACGACATGGAGCCAAACATGGATGATGACTCGGATTATGATTTGCACGATGGAGATTTCCCCTTCGAAGACGCGGATGAACCAACGAATTCCTGGAGCAATGCTGAAAAGGCTGAATTTGAGGCCAACCTAATCCTGCACTTGCACAGTTTAGCTGAGGCTATGGGGGTGACAGAGCTGCTAAGTGAGCGAGAGGCACTCCAACTTGACGCTGAAAATGAGCGAAGACGTGAGGCTCGAAGACAATTGGCTGCAAAAAAAAGTATGGCTGCACCTTTCAGAGGCCAGGGAGACGATGATGACAGTGAGGTTGAGTGGGAGGACACTGACGATGAAAGCTGAATGTGCAAAATTTAAAGGCAATCAACGGGGTTAGAACCTAAGTATAGAGTGGCGGAGGTAGATAAGGGAGATCGGAGGCAATGGAAGCATAATAATTTGCAAGCATAATCACGAGTAATCTTAGTCTACGCATAATAAGTGGTAATCTGCAGTTGAAGGGATAATCAAAAGGGGTGATCTACAAGGGAATTTTATTTCTGTTATCATCTCCTTGCTCTTTCTAGGCATGGTATGAGTGCTTAATCTATGCATGATCTTTTTATACGCGTATACATGCTTATATTAATGTTTCTAACAATATATCTTAATTATCATAACAGTTTTTTCTTTGCATAGGTTTTTTTTCAGAGTTTGCGACTTTACCTCTACGCCTGAAGATCCCCTTTCCCAAAAAATAATATAATGGGCTCCTTTTCCTAAATACTTTTTTATTCGTCTCTCTTTTTTCGTTATTTCAGATGGTGTTTATTGAACAAATAAATAAACCACATCAAGCGTATAATTTTTTAAATATATAAGCAAGAATACTTCTTATCTTCTAATATCACCGGCTTTTCCTTTTCTGTGGTTTACGTTTGAATTTGTAGTTGCTTTCCCTATTGCGATAATACACAAGTAGCGAATTCATACGAAACGATAAATAATCATAACGCATTCACTTTACCGTAAAACATACAAAACCTTCTCTGAAACGAGATGTTAAGCTCTTCAGAAGATATATACACTGACTACCTTCTTCAAATAACGCGTGATGTGGATAATGACGTGGTGCGCGACACCCTCTATCGCATGGGCTATTCCACATCCAGCGTAGAGAGCATGCTCGGCCAGGCTCCCCCTGGAAGAAAGCACTGCGGTAGCCTCACCCCCATCAGCATCGCATCATCGACCTCGCTCAGGGGGGCTCCCATGTCGCTGGGGCATCAGGACAGCACGAAGGCCTTTCAGCGCCTCCCCGCCGAGCACCAGCAGTCCCCCCTTGACGTTCAATCCACCCCGCCAGGCGCCACCGCCGAGGCCTCCATTCCCGACGCCCGCCCCGATCCGTTAGAGGAGGCCCCCCCTTCCTCAGGTGAGCACCTCGCCGCACTGCGGGAGCTGCGGGAGTCCCTGAAACGTGACGGATTTGAGAGGTCCAGCAACGAAACTGAGCGACCCACATCCGACCTGAGGAGTGCGCACAGGACGTCGGACCTGGACGGCCTCACTCTTCCTTGTGAGCAAGAGGCCGTGGAGCCAGGCCAAGAGGGGTCCCAAGGGGACCTGAGGGACACCTCTGGGACAGCGGTGTCCTCCGCGGAGGACACTCCGGGGCCCGCTTCCCTGCCCTGCTACGACGACCCCAGTGACCGGGTGGGGAGCGGGTCGGAAGGGGTGTCGGAAGGGTCGTGTCGCTGGGTGCCCCCGCGGGCCTGGACGAGTCCAATGCCAATGCGGGACAGGTGCCAGCGGTGGCGGCTCGCCAGCGGCTTCATCCCAACCTGTACGTTGCATTCCAGTCAACTCAGGAGGTATGGCGAGTGTGGCAAGAAGGGTATCCCCCCCACGCGATTGGCTTACACGACTGACGACTTTATCCCCGGCCGCTCTATCAACCGAGAGCCAGTGGGTGCATCGAAGCGATGCAGGAGGATGCCGTTTACCAATGTGGAAAGCGTGCAAACGACATCAGCAGCTACCCCTCGAGTTCACTCCGTAGTTATGCGAGGACGTATTTCGGGAGATCCCTTGCCGCGGCAAAGGACCGTTGGCTTATCCTCGCCCCATCTTTTCAGCTCGTTGCCTCCATACTACCGTAGCGACCCGGTACGTCTTTCGCAAATGTACCGTCAACAGTGGGCGCAGATGGAAAAAAAGAGCACCCGATCAACACAGCGAGTCATATGGGAAACACGCTATGAACTTCTCCGCTGTTACGCGAGATGAGCCATGTATTAAACATGCAAACGAGTAGTGGAAAAGAGGTGCAAAGTAACATGCACCTATATATTCTTTCCTACTCACGAACCGAAAATTTCTTACTAGACAGTTTTTTAAATGTTGTTACTATTAACCTTATACCATAGAACCCGGAATCAAACGAAAGTATTGATTTCACAAAATCATAGAGCTTGTAATCACCGTTTCATATGTTTACCTTCTCAATTTCAATTCAGCCTATCTGTGATACCGCTGTTGCTGATTCTTGTAGAAGCATCTTTTGATTTAACTGCGTTTAAGTTGTGGCTGACTTATTAAAATAGTTCTAATGGATTCTTAATATTTATGACCGTGCATTCATCATTATTTGGAATTTAGACTTACTTCCTGTTCCCCATGCATAAAGCTAGTAGCGGTGGCTCTATTTATAGGCTTCTATTTTTATACATTTCGTCAATTCACTTAAACTACACTGTTATAAACCAATATACAAAAGAAAGTTAATAGCACCGCAAGAACAGGATGTCATTTACTTTTGCAGCCGCGCCGGCGGCATCAAATCAAGCAGGAGCGCAAAACAACCCTAAACCCAACATGCTCGGTTTTTCTTCCATCCCTGCAGCCTCTACAACACCGATGGCGAACACTGGATTCGGCACATTCAACACTGGGTTCATGAAGCCGGGTGGCACCTTTACGTCAGGCACAGGCATTAGCAACACTGCCACTGGTGTGGGGAATTCAGCTGGTGGGTTTCCCAGCACTACCGGATTCAGCTCTATCACGACTGGGTTTAACTCCAGTACATTGAATACTAACTTGACTCCTCAGCTGCCTCCGTACAAAGGCATCAAGGGCCCAGGATATGCGAAGACGTGGCAAAACACAGTCGATTTCTCCCAGATTAACGACTACACGCTTTTCGACTCGCTTCCTCCCACCCTGCAGCAGCATCTTATGGAATTGTATGCCTTTTCCAGCAAAGAAGAGGAGTCTGTAAGGGCAGTGACAGACTACCTAAATGATATCAAGCCTATACACACTGGAAAGGGCACCGCCAACTCCAAGATGGATACAAATTCGGGAAGCTATCGACATCAATCCCGCCAATTAGCGGAACTGAAAGGTGGTAGTCACGCCGTCCCAATAGTCGCAGTCAGCTGCGAGAACCACGAGAAGGAGGCGCAGTCTTTTTCGCAGCACTTAGATCAATTTGAGAGTATCATCCGAGAATACCAACATCGAGTGTGGGAACCCTTGTTGGCGAGCGGCAACCTCACACGCGCCAAGAACAACAACAGCACTAATAATAGCCTAGGCAGCATGAATTCTTTTGACCACAATGTGAATGCAAAATCTCCGCTTCTTTCGATCGTCGAGGAACTGCAGGGCATCATGAGAACGCTGAGTGGCCAAATAGAAGAGCTCAAGATGAATGTTATGCCGTCTTTAACCCCTAATCACTTAGTCAACGCTGCTGACTCTGCAAAACAAGACAGAAGTTTGTGTAACTACGCATCAAATGTATATTTATCACATGTGGATGGTAGGACTCCTCTTTATCGCAACACCTCACTTAACAATTACTCTAATCGATGTGACCGTTTGCAGTTTTGCCCTTCAACGTTCTCGCCGCTTGGCACGACTGTTACTACCGGCTTTTCGGGGTCTGCATTAGAGGGAGACCCCACCCAATCGTCTGAAGTCATTCCTCAGATCAACGCCTCCTTGATGAGTCTGTTCACCAGCCTCATGAACCTCTCCAGTTGGGCTGGTCATCTTCATAAACGCACCGACACCGCCCGCGGCATCTTCACCCGTCAGTATGGCCAGTACGAGGCGGATGTGCTCTTCAAGCCGCCGATTCGCTCTCAGGAAACCCCCACCCTCGTGCCCGGCCTCTCCGCTCCGGTCCTCCCCGCCGCGAATCCCGTTGCCGCCGCCGCTCCTACCACGCAGATGGCGAACTTTAGTGTTATGAACACCGCTACAAATACGCTGCAGACGGCGCCCGCCGCAACGCCTGTGGGTGGCTTTGGCAGTTTCGGGCAGGGATTGGTCGGATCATTTGGGGGGTGGAAGACCAATCCCGTCCGTTAGGTAGCCTGATAAGGCCCACCTTCCCTTCTCCATGATTCCCTTGGGGTACTTCTTTGTTTTTCGCCCCTCCTTCACATAGAACTTCACCGTGGATCATTGTAGCGGATCGTCTGGCGTTTGGAATCATGCGTGTGCCCTGTTTAGTAATACTGTCCAAGCTTTACTCTTGAATCAATGAAAGCAGAATCATTAAATAGAAAACAATGATTAAATCTATCTACTCATCTAATAATATCGCGCGACTCTCCACACACAGTTCGCTTTTAGTGTGACGCTTTATTCCCATTTGCTGCGTGAATTCACTTTCCCCTCAACCATGTTGTTTGATTGAGGAATTGAATACTATCTATTCCCAAAATTTTTCTATACCTTTTTAAAAATCAAATTGTATAAACTGAAAGTTTTTAGATTCCCCCATATACACACTTATAGCACTTACACTCTCGTAAACTTTATTTATAGATCCGTTGGCCGCGCACTTGCACTATCGTTTCCTTGTGTTTCAGGGAAAATTGTTTATGCTCAAAACCAGTTGATTCCTAGCAACAATAAAAGTCTAGGCGCCTTGTATTTGTTCTAGGACTTGTTTAGATAGTCTTGTTTTTTTCTTATGGTTGCTTTTGTTATTCAAAGTCGTGTTTTATGATACACAAGAAGTAACTCGTCTTTTTTTGGTGGTTGAACTTGATCTTTATCCATGATGCTTAAAGCGTCGTTGATGAGACGGTTTGCAGGAAGCCGCACCCTCCTCGGGAAGTTGCTCAAACTCCCCACAAGCGAAGCTGTAATTGTCGTCCGTGAAACACGTCAATATGATTTTGACTTTGCGATTCGCTATACCCCTCCCGCTGCTGTTTCATCATCGCTACGTGGCGAGACTGCGTCTGAGCCACTAATGAAACCACTAGAGGACTACACACAGCCACCACACATGCAAACGAGGCGGACCTACAACGTCGGCGGTGTCGTGGGCCCGGCGTTTTCCATTTCCTGGAGTAAATCGCCCGGTGCCGGTGGGGGTGCCTTCCCATTCCTTCCTGAGGGCCGTCTTGCCAATTCACGCCCTGTTTTGCCAAACAGTGATGGTAGGAAGGCCATAGACGGTGGGCAACCTGCATGGTGTAGCTGCGCGGCGCTTTTTTACCCCCTGATAGGTGAAAAAAAGAACCCAGTTGGCGGGGCCCACGGGTTACGGGAAAGGTGTAAAGAGGAGGAACGTCTTCTCGACACCTTCGTGTTCGCCCTCAAGCTGAGTGATACCGAGGACATCCTACGAGGTATCATCGGGGAGCACTCCTATGCTAAGCTGGTCGGCCCTGTTCTGGCCTCGAAGGCCCAGGTCGTCTCCTTGTTCGCGGACCGCCGCGAGCCGATCCCGTACACCGTCTCCGCGGGCCTTTCGATGGGGGCGGGGCTCTCGGACGCGCCCGCACCTGTCTGGCTCGCGCATACCTTGTTGACGGCAGAGGAGGAGAATCGCGTGCGGTGGTTGTGGGAGGAGATGGATGACATCAGCGCGTGCTACGCCCGCGCCCCCACGCTTCGGAGTCTTTTGGTGTTGTGGCATGTCGCTTCGTCGTCGACATCGGTGGGGGAGGAGGTCTCTGACGGCCTACGACCGAGCTGCTGCCCCTCAGCCTCTGACATCACGCAGACATGTCAACGCATGAGGGATCGGTTCACGGAGATGACGTTATGTGATATAGCGGCCTTGGGACTGCTTGGCACCGCGGGCCAGAAGGTACGTAAAGAGGTTCTAACCAACTTCCTGGAAAAGGCACGACCAGAGCAGGATGGAGCTCCGTTTGCCGACGCAGGTGATTACGCCTCCCAAAGCAATGCCCTGGAGCGCGTTTTGATAGTCTTATTTTTCCTCAAGTATATGGGGAAACATAATGGAATAGGGTCCATGGGCAGTTCTGAGCTGTGGACATTGGATGATGACAAGGAAAATAGCGAAGTGGTATTTTCTTTGCTAGACGTAGCCACTCAGATATCCGCCTGCAAAGAAAAACTTGTCGAAAAGTTGGTCTCTGACAGTAATCAGTCGTCACCAACAGAAAGTAGCCTTTCTTATTCCAGCCACGCATCCATAAAGTGTCATACAAGCTCCAGCGCGGATAGGGGTGACATCTACCAAACTACTCTGTTGTGCGTCATGGAATACTTTTTAAACCGCATTCGCTTGACAGCGGCTCAGTGCGATATCCCAATTACAAGCCCCCATCTCTGCGGCGTGACTCTCTGGTTGCTGCGTGAGATGCCTCATAGTGACGTGTGCTGTAGGCATTTTAGACGTGTGGTCGAGCACTTACCGTCAGATGCCCTTCTTTTGCTTGAAAAAGCCTCTCTGCTTAGTACGTTGAGTCTCGACCTTCGATCAGTGGTGGAGATTCTGTTGCCCCTATTAGAACACTGTGAAAAGGAGGACTTTTTCAACACAGTGATGCAAGAGGTGGTTATCTCGCTTGAGCATCGTCTGCGGCGCGACCCTACCTCGTTCACGCAGGATGATATGAAGTGGCTGTCGATGCTCGGTATGAGCCTGTTCATGAAGAGTGAGAACGAGGCAGTGATTGGCACGAGCTTCCTTGATAGAGGAATCCACGAACAAATGGAGGAGTTGAATGTCATGGATGGTAGCCCCTGGGCTCTTTGCGTCGCGACGTATCGTTCGCTGAAAGAGATCGTCCGGGCTCTTTCACGTGATCAGCGTAGCCTTCGACGGCAGGTGCACAATCAGATGCGGGCAATCGCTAAGGCAGCGGGTAGGCCTCTGGCGACGCCGACGAATTCGGTTGCATCTCAGGCTCATGAGGCCAGCTGCAAGTCCACAGACCTCTCATCCCCGTTTTCCACGACCGAGGAAGGACAATCTGCTCGAGGTGGAGATGGCTGCGGCGACGTCCACCCTCCAGATGTGGTAGCGCACGTTGGTGCAGGTCACGGTAGAGCCAGTGAGAATGCCAAAGATAATGCCACGTCGGAGCCGCGCGTCTTGGAGGTTTCATCCAGCATTCGCCATCGTTTTCTGCTCTTTCTCGAGAAGCTCGTCAAGACCCATGTGGATCTGCGCTCCAGCAGCACAGGACAGTCCCTCGTGGTGAGCTCTGAGATGTTTGACTTTATCAACAAGAACGTTCCCGTCCCAAATATTCAGGACGAATATCGACGCAAAATCTTCCTTCTGATGAACGTTACCGTTGACGAAAAAACAATGCGGGAACGAGCACTAACATACAAACGAGAAGCACGAGGGGGTAAGAAGGCAAAGACAGCCTCACAACGCGCAAAGGAGGGCGAGGAGCTGAACGAGCCTACCGAGGTGATTCCGGCCGAGCTGCGCTTTCTTGTCAGTTCTTTGCCCCTCGTTCTTTCCCCGTGGGCAAGTGTGATGGTGCTGCGGGAGGTTCTAGCTGAATCGCCCGGCGGGAATCCGCGCTACACCTACGTTCTCAACGCCGCCATTGACCTTCAGCTACCCATCTCAACGACACGCTCGCGTATCGCGACGACGCTGAATATGTGGCGCTTCCTCAACACCCAAACCCACAAGCTATCCTTGAAGGAGAACGTCATGGTAAAACAGCGCTGCGTGCTGAACCTACCCCTTTCCTATATCCTTTCTTCCTATTGGTCTCTGTTGACGTGGCTGGTGCTTTCAAGCCTGATAGTGCTCAACATTGTCGGCCTCGACGTCGAATCGCAGCTTGTCGCCAACAAACTTTTCCAGGAGTTCGCTCCATGGGATGAGATTGAGGTGGGTGAGTCAGAGCTATGCAACGAGGAGGCCGCCGCGGACGTCGTCTCCGAATACGTTAATTCGTTTAAGCCGGATCACACGCTGAACGGCTCGGTATCGCTGTTATCCTCGGATACACTTCTTTCCTCGGCGTCTTATCTCTTTCTCGGCTCGCCCGACCAGTGGCGTCCGATGACGATTATGCCCATTGGTAGCGATCCCACGCTAAAGGATGAGGTGCGAGCTGCTGAGGAGTACGCGTGCGCGACGGCGGTTCTGAAGAAGATGTCGTCGTGCGTGGTGTTCCCCTTCTACGTTGATCTACCGCGAGTGATGCCGGTTAGGTATGTTGAGGCGCAGGTTGCGGAACGCATTCGGCGAGTATCACTAGATAATGCATGGTTTTTACTCCGCACACTAATCCGGACGTTTCCATTGGGCCGTGAGCAGATGGAGCGGACGTTAATCTCGCACACCTGCACGCAGGCCAATCTCATACAGCGGCGGATCACTTTCTTAGTGTATGCTCAGTATGGGGTTCCCATCACTGAGCAGTTTTTGAGGAACTTGAGGTCTAGTCTTCTTTCGCAGAACGCAAATTTAGTTCTGGTGGTGCACGAATCCAGCTTGCTCAAGGGCGGGGTTACACCGGCGCGTCTTCGCACCTTAGCCAGTGATATGGGTGCGGAATTGAATGCCCGGAAAGAAAACGAAGGTTACATCGAAAATGGGTTTAAAAGAAAGCGAAGTGGGCTCCTGGTGCTCCCTTGCTCCCGACAGCTTTACAAGCAAAGACATGTAACGCTCTGGGATGAGAGGAATACCAACGCTAACCTTTCTCTATTCGCCAGACAATTTGGCATCCGGAGTCAACGAGCAGTTTCGCACGCACACGTTGAGGACAAGTCAGATAACTTGAAGAGCGGTATGGTGACGGAAACGCTTCGGAGAAGGGCAGCCAGACGCTTGATGAAAACATTCGAGAAAAGAAACCTTGCACGTGCAGTAGCGGTCTCTCATGATAATACAAACTTCATAGAAACACAAAAATCAGAGTGCACGCCTGTAAAGACGGACTCTCCGCTACCGTGGCCTGTGGTGAAGTACTTGAGTTTTGCTAAGCCTGTAGGGCCAGCTATGTGGCACCGGGTGCTTCTTCAATGGAAAGTTTATATTGAGCGGATCAATAAGCCATTGTTTGCCGTACCTCAAACTGGGTTACCTTTACCCAGCGGTGTTGTAGGGTCCATAGAAAGAAGGTGGTGACCTTTGCTTGGTTATCTTTGAGCGTGCGATGCTTCCACTTCTCCCCCCCCCCCGCTCTCTCTTCCCTCCATTCATCCCCTTCTTGTTATCTGGTTTTAATGGTACTTTTGTCATTACAGAACGGCATTGTTCGTACACAAAAAAGAGCAAATGGAAACTAATAATATCACAGTGGGTTGCGCGCCGCCGCTACTGGGTGATTAGGCTAGTCTCCTTGCATCCTGGAACTTTACTGAGTTTGTTAATCTTCTTATCTTTAATTACCTCACTCTTTCCGACTTAAAAGTATATAAGCGCTGTTTCATTTTTTTCTTATTGTTAAACTATTAGCATTTAGAAGCAAAAAAGTTTACATCTCTGAAGGGAAAAGTTCTTTTTTTTGGTTAATTGGTGTGTCTGTTTTTATTGTTGTTTTTATCTTGTAAACCCCATTAATTCTTAATGGCTAATATAGTGGAGCTGGACCAGATACTACGGAATGTAGCAATCGTGGATGAGGAAACGTTAGGTCAGTGGATTGTGCTCAGTGATATCGCCAACGCGAGTGTGTATTTTAATGCCAACGTAGCGACGTCTTTTGCCGCGGTACGGAATATATCCGATATCATTGTTACGAGATACCTTAACAATTCCAACCAGAATGAGGTTTCCCTGCATTGTAAGACCAAATTCTGTATTTTACTTAATAACTTCGCGCTCTACCAACCCGTTCGAAAAGCCGTTTTTGCGGCGTTGGAGAAACTCACTGGTGTTTTCGAGACCTCCATTGCGGCGGAGAGCAGGATGCCATTCGAGTCTGAGCTGGGAAGGATGTCGGAGCACGTGCTGGTGCTACTGATGCGGTGCACTGATTACAATCTCAAAGCTGCGGCCATTCATGAGTTCACGGAAGGCCAAACACAATTCGCCATTCAACTCCTCCTGGCCATCCTACTGAAGGAGCCACCGTACGAGTTCGATCTGAGGTGCAATTGCATCACTGGCATTTACGGATTCACGCATCCGCAAGCCTTCTTCACGCCTGAGGAAGATATCAGGGAGAACTCGTGCGCAAAATTCACGGAAAAGATAGACTTCATTCTCAACCACATGCTCCGCCTGAAGGCGACGCAAGTGATAAACGAAGTCTTGAAGGAAGCTATCCTCGAGAAGGATACCAATCCGATTGTGCTACGGCGTGGTGTTAGCGATATGATGCGCTCCATTATGAATATATTCAAGTTCAGCTCAAACAACTCATCGCAATGGCGGAAGCATGTAATTCTCCACACAAGGTTTATGCATGAAGCGGTGGTGATGCATACCCAATCTCTCGTGAAAATTCTGCAAAAGCAGGTCATGGAGGTACCTTTCATTGTGTCTATGGATTTGCTGAAGGCGCTTATTTTGACGCTTAGATTCTGCGTCTTCGCGTCGTACCGCCTCGGCAGCTTCGCGGTTCAGCTAAGGAGCTACTACTCCTCCCTCGTGAGTTTGTTCGAGCTGCCGATTCAAACGCAGCTCGCGGATGCGCGTCAGTCAAGGAGTTTTATCGATCTCTACATCGCCGCTCTACACTTTTTGTGTAACATGAACGCCTTAGACGACACCACCCCTCTGGAGGAGAGGGTGACCTTGGTGTTAGGCGGAGATCGGCTCGCGCACGCCCTGGAGGTCTTCCTCAACAACGAAGTCGCGGTCTGCGGGATGCCCGTCGTCCAGGCCTGGCATCGGCAGTTCCTGGAGAACGCCCTGGAGTGGCCCCATGAGTCGCAAAACACCACCTACAATAGGATCAACTCGATTTTCGAGAATCTGCTGCGGCGTGAGCAGGCCGCGGCCGCCCCGACGGCCGCCCGTCTGCCCGCATCGCAGCATCCAGCGGAGATGGCATCGGGGAAGGGGAGGGAATCCGACAAGGCCGCCGGCGGTGGCCCCGGAGCGTCCGTGGGTGACTTTCATAGCAAAGCCAAACCCGAACCCCACGCGGCGCCCATGCAAGAGGTGGATACGAACCTCCGCTGCGTGCTCACCGGGGAGCTCATGAAGAACCCCGTGAGGTCGCCCTACGGCCACTCGTTCGACAAGGCGGCGATTCTGAGTTGGTTTGATCAGAACGGCTCGGTATGCCCGATCACCGGAAAGCCTTTGGTTGCCTCGCAGCTCGTTCCCGATACCGTCATGGGCGCGAAAATTATGCAGCAGATCATCACTCAAAGTATGGCTACGCAACTGACCGACGATGACTTGTACAACTTCTAACTCTCCCACCACCCCTCCTCTTCTTATGCACATCCGTTCTCCATCATGCCCACTTTCATCAAAGCGAAAAGGCAGTGGAGTTGGGGAAATAAAAGAATGACGTAATCACTGGAGAAGGTGGTGAACAGCAATAGCAGCAAAATACTTCTGGCATGACGGAATGGGGAAAGGGGGGAGGGAGCGAGTTAGCGAAGATGATCTATATTCGAATTATATGGACATGCGAAGGCAAAATAACTGAAATTATATGGAAGGAGTTGACTGCAAAGTGTTGTGACTAAAGGGAAAAAATAGATATATATGCTTATATGTTATTCGGTTTTATTAATAAACATATTTCTGGCGTTGATTCGCATATTTGGCTTAGTTTGTCATCTAGATGAAGTTTACTGCATACATTCTAGAGATGAGGGCAAAGGAGTTGATGTACATGTAGTTGTTTGCTTGTACTGTATATTTGGGGAGATTAACCGCGGGAATAATTTCTTCATAAAAATAATCCAATAGAAATGTTAATGTGTTTTTTTATCATCAATTTATAACTCACTGCGGTATTTTTTTCACTTTTTGGTATCCCTATGACACCTTCTTTTTTTCGTGCCGTCTCTACTAACACATCGTTTTTTGTATGGACGAATTTACTGTCGAATTATTCTTTCTTCCTTCACTGATCTCTTTGCTTACCTTTTTGGGAGCTTGATAATAAACTTGAAGTGCAAGAAGAGATTAAGCCGCCATTTTTCCTTCCTCAAAAAAGTATATATATATATATTTATATATATATTTCAGTACTAGCCCTGAACAAGAATACAGTGTGGTAAAGGGGAAGTAAGTGGAGGAGAGCGTGAGATGTAAAAAGATAACTTCACTTGTCATGCCTAAGGTTGGCAAGTGAGTATTTGAAATTCGAGTTTCTAGTTTCATATTTTTTTCCTTTTGCTCTCTGACAAATGTTCCTTGAAAATTGTGGTTGTTATATTTACTCATATTTCATGAATAATAATAAGTCTCATGATGATACCAACACTATATTTATATACATGTGTGAAGTTAAGTGTTCAACAGGACTAGCTTATCGACTACGACATGTGAAACAGAACAGATGCAACATATAAGACCGCACATGCTCCAACAGTAAAGAGTAGTGGTAGAATTAGTGCATCTCATAAAATAAACAACAAGGGGAGCTCAGTGACAATGACAGATTGCAGAGCTGATGCTCATTACCACAAACCTCATGCAAGGTAAGTTTTAAGCAGATTAAAGGATTAGTGAAAATAATGTATCCTATCCCAAGCTTTCCATTTCTTTTTTCTTCACTGAACGTCTTTGATTGATACACCGTTTTTTAAAATTATTTCCTCTTTTTTTATGTTTATGATATTTATCAACCTCATAACAACATTTTGAATGGTAAGAATCACTTTCAAGAGTACACGTATCACCTCCTCCTGGTTCTCCCTCGGAAAAATCCGGTAAAGGATAAATTGTTCTCCATTTTCTGCATACAAATTCAATGGCTTTGCTGCACGCATTGCTTGAGTTGGATATATGCTCGAAATCCACTCTCACTTCGAAGTGAGGCTAAAAATTTTGAGAAAATTTTCACTATACTTAACTCCCATGATATATATGTACTCTTTGGTTCAGTCTTTGTACTAATTTATTAAGAATTCACACTATAAGTATTTATACAAAACATACGCATAGACATGATAAAATCGCCAAACCGCAAGTGGCTGTGGTGTGTACTGCTTGTGGTTGCCATCCTTTTGGGGTTCCAGTGCCACGATGCATCGGCGAATGAAAAGGGCTCTCCAATTGCCTTCCAGGCAGAAGTATCTAAAATGCTTGACATTCTTGTTAACTCCCTGTACACGAACCGCCAAGTCTTCCTACGCGAGCTCATTTCAAATGGCAGCGATGCCTTAAGCAAGATTCGCATGATGTATCTGAAGTCCCGTAAGGAGCCGGTGAACGCGACAGGCCACGAACCTACGATGGATATCCGCATCCACTTTAACGAGGAAAAGAAACAGCTCATCATCCAAGACGGCGGCGTGGGCATGACGAAGGAAGAACTCGATAAAAACCTCGGCTCTCTCGGCTCCTCAGGCACCAGGGGTTTTCTGGAAAGGCTTCAGAATGCGAGCAAAGAAGGTTCCAACAATCTAATCGGGCAATTCGGTGTTGGCTTCTACTCTGTCTTCCTCGTTGGCGACCGGGTAAGTGTGGCCTCCAAGAGCGACGATAGCGAGACGCAGTACGTATGGGAGTCGTCGGGGGATGGAAAGTACTTTCTCTATGAAGATCCCCGCGGTAACACATTGGGCAGAGGCACTGAAATCACCATCGATCTCAAACCCGACGCCGTGGAGTTCCTGAAGCCGGATCTCGTGAAGCGCGTGATCCAGCAGTACAGTGAGTTTATCGACTTCCCGATCTACTTGGCTGAGGAGGTTGAGGTGGAGAAGAGTTCTCCAACGAACGCAACCGAGGATGGCGAAAACGCAACCACGGAGGATAGCAAAAACGCAACCGCTGAGAGCGGCGATGAAAAGTCGGTGGAGAAAGTTCGTGAAGTTCAATGGACACTGGTAAGCACTAGCAAGCCCATCTGGACCCGTTCGCCCGGCGATGTAACGGATGAAGAGTATGACCAATTCTATCAATCAACCTTCAAAGATTACAAGTTTCCCATGTACTACTCCCACTTCAAAGCCGAGGGAGAGGTCGACTTCGATTCCATCCTTTTTATCCCACACGAGGGCGACGTCTCATCACTCATGGAGGATGTCGAATTGAACAATATCAAGCTCTACATTCGCCGCGTCTTTATCACGGACGAGTTCCGTGATCTAATACCACGCTACCTCGGCTTTGTGAAGGGAATTGTGGACAGCAATGACCTCCCCCTCAACGTATCGCGAGAGAATTTACAGGAAAACCGTATCCTGCGCGTCATCAAGAAGAAGCTCGTGCGTAAAATCTTTTCGATGATCTCCGAGATTGCTGCGCATGAAGAAAACTTCAAGAAGTATGCGAACACAACGGACGCGGACAAGGCCGAAGGCCCCGACCGTCGTGGTACGAAGAAGTTGGTGAAACCGATGTACACGCACTTCTGGGAGCAGTTCGGAGTTAACATTCGATTGGGAATTATCCACGATTCTGTTAACCGAGGACGCCTCAGCAAGCTCTTGCGATTCAAGACTTCTCAGAGCGAGGATGAATACATCAGTCTACAGACTTATGTTGATCGTATGAAGGAAAACCAGAAGGGCATTTACTATCTAACAGGTGATTCTATTGAGAGGATTAAGCAATCCCCAGTGCTGTCGGACGCCCTGGATCGCGGATTCGAAGTGCTGTACATGACGGAGGCCATTGATGAGTATTTTATCCGATACCTGCCCGATTTCGCCGGTAAGAAGCTCCTGAATCTTGTCCACAATGAGGTCCAGATGGACGACCTTGATGAGGTTCGCCGGGCAGTTGACAAGAAACGCGCGGAGATGTACAACGACTTTTTAATGTATCTAACGAAGCTCCTCGAGCCTGGTGAGGTGAGCAAAGTAACCTTGACTCATCGCCACACCACGGAAGCCTTTATTGTATCTTCCAACCAGCATCACATAACAGCGCGCATGGCAAATATCATGCGCAACCAAGCTGCCGGAATGGAGACCACCCCTCCTAAGGTGAAGCGTATTGTTGAAGTAAACCACCGCCACCCACTCGTGAACGACCTTTATCAGCGATTTACCGTCGATAAGGATGATGAATTGGCTAAGGATATCGCATGGGTTCTGTACGATACTGCCAGTATGCGAGCTGAGTTCCCGATATTGAACATTTCTATGTACGCAAAACGTGTTGATCGCCTTCTACGCAATGGCGCCGACATCAGTCTAAACGAGGAACTGCTTCCAGAGGATGACGACAAGTATTTGGGAATTATCGAAGAGGAAAAGGCGGCGGCGGTGTCTGTGAAGGAAAATGAAACCCAGAAAAGCACGGAGGAGGTGGACGATAAACCAGTCACTACGGAAAAGGATTTGAAGGAAAGCCCTGAGACCAACGACGATTTATAAAAATGAATTTTAGCAAGGTTTCTCCTCGCCCCATCAGTCGTCACTATCTAAAATTTTAGCTTCTGTGCGGAGCAGTGTTCGAGAGGAATCATATTTCCGTTTAATGACCTTTATCGTTTCAGTTCTGGTATCACCATTACAGAAAAATTTTGCATATTGTGAGTTCAGGTTATATATATGTATGGCTGTTCGAGTATATAGATGTATATACTTTGAATGAATTAAGTATAAGAAAATATCGAAAAGTAAACGCTTTTTATGGGCTTTTAAAAATATTTTATGAGGGGAAATTCTGTTTATAATTTACAATTTGGATGGGAATTTCTTTTTTCTCAAATAAATTTCCTCAGGTTCTATTTAAATCCTGTAACGAAAATCTTTCGATATGGAATCGATCTGACTTTTTCCCCCAGTTTCCTTTTTCTTTTCTGCCTTAGATACCCCTTTCATCCTCTTCGGTTCCATTCCTTTGGCACATCAAGGGGATTTATCAGTCAAGCATAAGGACACAGACTGAGGCTAAGCATTTGCGCATTACGATCATATATGTCGACCTGCAAGCCAATGGACACCCCAGTTCTCCCTCATAAGCTTCAAAAGATTAGCAGCAAGGCTCAGAAACTTGAAGATGCTCACGCGGATCGTCTAATCGCCTCCAAGCGCTCCGGCGAGGTTGTCTCGCGAGAATCCTTAGCAGCACTCTACGCTCTTGCATTGCGACTGCACTCCCCCCGGCTGGTCTTCCACGCGAAAACCCTCGAAACTAGCCAAGCAAAGCACATCACGGCCGAGCAGATATGGGGGCAGATGTCCGTTCTCCTCCGCCCCGTGTTGCGGCGTCTACAGGATAACGTGCGGTATGTAGAACGGCTATATGGCTCTACGGGTGGTCGAGATAATAAGAATAGCCCGGCCGGAAAAAATCTCCGCCAAGCTCCACACTCCATCGATAGTGATAGTGAGGAAAAGGACGAGGAGGCTGCTAGCGCCTCCTCAGGCGCGTCCGAGAACGAAAGTGACTTGGATGATGAAATCACGCAGTTGTTGGAAGAGAGGAAGCGTCGTGTAACCTCCAAAAAAGGCAAAGACTCCGGCGACGATAAGGATAACTGGCGCTTTGCGTTCGGCAAGGGCGGGGATGAGGACGAAGAGGACTGGGGGAATGACGATGGTGGAAAGAAAAGACGAGGAGCTTCCAATAGCGATGAAGGGGACATAGATTCGGAGAACGACATGCATGCGCGTCGTGCCCGTGGACGGAATCAACGCGCGATTATGGAGGCGGATGTCGATGGTGAGGATATCCACTCATCGGAGGCCGCCGAGGAGGAGCTTGCCGCGCTGCGCGAGATGTACGGCGAGGACTTTGAGTACGACGGAAAAGGTCTAGCCTCCATGGGCGAGGAGGATCCCGACCTCGAGGGTGATCTCATGTTTGACCACCCCAGTCAGCAAGGAGAGGAAGAGGAGGACGACAACAGAAACCTTTTTGATGAACAACTTGATGGTGCGCGAGGTCACGCCCGTGGCAATATGCTCAACGACGTGATGGGTGACTTCGAGGAAAACGCGTCGCAAGCCACCACGGGAAATGACGTTGACGAGGAGCTTCAGCAAGCACTAGCAGATCCCAACCTCACTGCACTTGAGAAGGAGCGGCTAATTGAGAAGAAAAAGATCGAAAAGCTCGAGCAGCAGCGGCTTTATGCCACGGACTGGACGATGGCGGGTGAAACTGCTGCTAGCAAGCGACCCCGTGAGGCTCTGCTTGACATTCAGGATTTGGAATTCGATTACGGGATGAAGGCGATGCCCGTGATCACGGCGGAGTTCACCGCGAAGCTCGAGGATCGGATCAAACGTCGGGTTGTCGAAAAGCACTTCGACGATGTCGAGCGGCGTAGCACCCTCACGACCGCGGATACTTTAGTCACGACGAGACGTGATGCCGTGCTAGATTCGGAGAAGTCTAAGCTTTCGCTCATGGATTTATACGAGAAGGAGTATCTCGACAAGATGCGGGCCGCGGAGGAGGCCCGAGGCGAGGCCGTGACCCAGGCTGAGCCGCTGACGGAGATTGAGAAGGACGAGCTGCGTGCGATTCAAATGTGGCGCCGTCTCGCCCAGCACCTGGATGCTCTCAGCAACTTCTTCTACACCCCGAAGCCGGTGCAGGGAGATCTGGAGGCTCGTGTGCGGGCCGTCGAGCGTCAGGCCCCGGCAATAGCATTGGAAAATGTCGGAAACTTCGCGGCGTCCCGCGAAGATGCCCTGGCCCCGCAGGATCTCTACCGGGGCTCCAGGCATAAGTTTATGGATGCCGGGGCAAACGAGCTCAAGCCGAAGGAACGACGCGCGCTGCGTCGCGCAAAGAAGGAACAAGGGAAAAAGGTGAAGGATATTAAGGCAAAGTTGAAAGCCCGGCGCCAACCACAGTCAAAGGATACCTTAAATAAATAAATCCATACTTCACTAACGGTTTCCTATCTTGTGTTTGGATATATCAAATGTGCCTTGACTTTCCAGTTGATATTTTCATTAATATATATATATATATAATTGTTCAGACACATGTCGAATCCTAATTTGATGAGAAAAAGAAAGTTCGAAGCGGCTTAGTGAGTGCAGAAGATCATTCTTCCAATGCGCAGCGCGGCGAACTAGACAGTTTCTGTAAATGTTTTGGAATAATGCGGGTAACAAACATAATGTTCTAGAAGGTGATATCTCTTAATTTGCTTTTCTTAATCCTAAACATTTTGAGTCTTACTTGCTATTTCACACATTTCTTATTCCTATTTCCTCGCTTACTCTTACCCTCAGCATGCAAAGAACATTAGATCTCAATGCCCAAACTAGTTCCAGCTGTGAAGCCCCATATTCAAAGTAGGGAGGATTTCGTGATGATGCTGCACAATATTGCAAATGCTAAAATCAATACTTTTTCTTCCTCGTTGAAATCTGCGTGCTACACGTGGACACGAGAGGAAGTGATAAAAAATCTCATCTGGATATTCCCAAATAGCAGCAATACAACAAATACCTTACATCAGCATGTCAACAAGCTTGAAGATGAATCAAACGATTCGAGTGTAAATTTGGGTAAGGTCAATGCATGTTCCCGCTATGGCGTAGCACACCAAGATAACACAACTATTGCGGTATCTTCGGTTTTCGTTAATGAATGCCTTAAATCACGGGAGAAACCTCCATCGAGTAGCGTTGCTCCATTTTCGGATGCAGATGATAGAAAAAAAAATAGTGAAGAAGATAATCGGCAATCAGTAGGTCAATCTACAAGAAGTTTGCTTTCCATATCCCAAATAGACGCTCCTAAGCCACAGCGACAGCAGCAACAAAGTAAAAAAAACAGTAAACTAACAACAGTCAAAATTGAACGACCAAAAAAGCGACCGAGGTCGTCTCAGCAAATGGTTGTTGAAAACAAGAAGAGCGACAGTAGTGTTGAGTACGTTAGTCCTTCAGGTGACAAATCAGTTGAAGGTCGACACAGTGATAATGTCGAAATAATTAGCCAAACCCCTCCATCGATACCATCATTACGGCACAAATTGGAAGATAAATCCACTGAAAAGTCAGCCTCCGCGCCTAGACAGCGCTTGATTACATCATTCCTTATTCGAAAAGATTCATAAAATATGAAATAAAAAGGACTCGCAGAATCTACGAATATAAAAATGACAAAGATCAAGAAAAGTTCAGCTATAAAGCATAATACGCTATAAGTTCATATTTGTATGTTCGGGAAAAGTCACTGAACCTTGTATTGCATCAAAATTACGCTACTTACAAAAATTATTAGTATAACACCTCCTAACTTTCAAAACACAACA